TATATATATATATAAATCATCAAAGAAAGGTAAATACAGTGTTTCGAATAATGAAGGACATGATAATACATCGTGTTGCATAGTTCTCAACGAATATTGTCCTATAAATAGTGTAATGAAACATAACAAAATGTGTCTGACGGGATTCGAACTGCTGTCAAGGCGAGCGTCATAACTATTAGACCACAGATGCTTCATGGTTTAACGGATTTAAATAAGGTCAGATACACTCCATTACACAATAAGTACGGCTGGAAAAAAATAATAGCATGTAATATAAATCAAGATAGCCGTTAAGAATGTTATATGTAAATATCAAATCATCAAATGATTGATCATTTGATGATTTGATCCAATTGGGAGTGGATTCAATTCTTACCAAATCTACGAGGGAAACGTAGATGAACATTCCTGCTGTGACAGCAAACACCCATTGATGGATAGCAGTGCCTTCCCCGGCAGCTATTCCAATATACAACCCAATAAATGCCATACACGCAGTGCCGAAGTTGCACAACAGCGCCTTTTTTACACTAAGACCATTATTAACGAGGACAGCAAAGTCACCTAAAATTAAAGAAACAAACTTTTAATCATGATGTAGTTAGTTTTCATAATTAGGCCTAACTTATGAGAATGATTATTATATATTATCAACAGTAAAAAAAAAACATTCATCATCATCGTCGTCGTTATCATCGTCATCATTATCAAACATCAACATCATCATCATCATCATCCAATTCCTCCTTATCATTATCTGCTCATCGTCGTCTTTATATTCTCATCATCGTCGTCATGATTTGCCCATCATGATTTTTGTTATAAGAAAACATTTGGCAAGTTCTCACCTAACTCGTGGGGGAGTTCGTGGAACATAACTGCAATACAAGTGGACACGCCCACTAATATATCGGCGGTGAAGGCCACGCCTATTGCAAGTCCATCCATCAGATTATGAATAGCATCTCCAATCAGAATCATCGCATTTAACGAATTAACACCACCTACAATGTAAACACACGTCAGTCAGACTTCGAATGGAGTTTACGACAACTTTAACAAACATCTGCGTAGGCAAATCACCCATAGGGTTAGCCTAAGTTTATTTTACTCTGGGGTAGCATCCAACTTACAGAGACTGTGTAGAAATGGCCGAGGAAGAATATAAGCAGTCATCTGTCTATTTAATGTAACATGTTTTAAAATTCAGGTATAGGTCTACAGTCGTATTTCCTTTTTAATATGTAGGCCATACTGTAGTCTATTTTTGAATTAAAGAATTACAAGTTAGCATTACATAATACAATCTAAATTGTATGGTATTTTCTCCTTCATAATAATTATGTAGAGTATGCGCTCTGTGACCGATGTTTTTTAAGAGGCATTAGGCCTATATTTGATGCTGAAAACTAGCTTAACAAACAATCACCTGATGAAGCCCCATTGACTGAGGCGAAAGCTTGTGAAATAAAATTCATCGTTAGTCAAATAAAGCGCTACCTACTCATTTGTTTCATTTATATACACTGACTATTACGGCTATACTATTTTTTGATTTAGCTTAACAATGTAAATCTTTTTTGAGAGACATACTTAATCACGATTATATGTATTTTAAAAGCAATTAATGTTTGCCACAATAAGAATATAATTCATTTTCAGTATCTTTATTACATATCTGTTTCGTTAACTACAAACTTTATCATTAAAATATTTTATTGTATTTCTAGTTTACCATTTTTATTATCAATAAGTGTACTATTCGATTGACGTTTGTCTTCCTCCATTTTAATGCTCTCCTGTAAAAAATAAAAACATTATCCATTCATTTTTACCAATTATCAAATATATAATATATGACGGGTAAAATAGAATGAATGTTAACAAAAGTTCGATGAATATATTTTCCAATAGAAACTAAAGACAAAAATGCAACCCCAGGGTAATATGCACATGTTTTTTTAATGAACAAGATTAGGCCATAAATAGAATAAACAGCGAGAAACAATACGAACACTCTGTGATTTCTGTGGTTCTATTATTTACGGTGTGCTTTAAACAAGAAAAAAAAAAACGCGTTATGATGTACGTCAGTGGCGTAGAAAAGTATTTTTCATTGGGTGGTGGGGGGGGGGGGGGGGTTGGC